AGCGGCTCCTCCAGGAGCGCCGCCCCCCGCCTTCAGCTCCTCGCGGACAGAGTCTGCCTGCAGAGCAAGCTTCCGGAAGCCAGAGAAAGGGAGACAACTCCAGTGCAGGGCAGCGCCGTCCTGTTCGCCTGGAGCTGAGCTGCCGTAATCAGCCCAGGGCGCTCCGGTTCACCGCTCAACAGGACGTTGCTAGAATGAAAAGTATTTTAGAAAAATGTGAGACTGAAAGCCAGGAAGCTGTTAGAAGGTAAGGAGACACTTCCAAGGCAGGTCTCTGACCATCAGATCACATCAGATTTAAAAGAGCAGACGACCAGCGGCACAGTGGCAAGCAGGCTAAGCCACCGCCTGCGTCACCCGTATGAGCCCCCAGTTCGAGTCCTGGCTGCCCCACTTCCGATCCAGCTCCCTGCTAATGGCCTGGGAAAGCAGGGGAGGACCACCCAAGTGCTTGGGCCCCCGCACCCTTGAGGGAGACCCAGGCTTGGCCAGCCCTGACCATTGTGGCCATTTGGGGAGCACCCCTGAGTCAGGATACAATGGGGAGCCCCGCGTGTCAAGCCTTAACTGCACAGATCTTAAACAACTGCGGCTCTGTCCCATCAGGCACTAGGGTAACTTAAACCGTATGAGAAAGCTGCGTTGCAAGACGGTGATGGACACGGGGCAGTGAGGCACAGTGGGCAGCAGGGCCACTGTGGGCGGGGGGCATGGCACGCGTGGGTCGCTGGACAGAGCGTCTGTCTCCCCAACACCATGAGCTGGCGCTCGGCAAGGAGGCTGTCAGGGCTGGACCCCCGGCCCCACTCCCCGGGAAGAGGACAGAGCACGGCTCCCCTTCTCTCTGCCGGCGTGGGCAAGGCCGGGAGCTGTGTGCCCAAGCCCACACGCTCTGCTCCGGGAGGAGGAACAGAACTCGGCCAAGCCGTCCCCACCTGACCTGGTTCCCATAACCCCCAGGACCAGCTGATCCGATGGGCCACCCCTCCCACGAGCCTCCAGGCCCTGTCTCAGGGTTGAGAGAGGAAGACAGGCAATGCCAGGGGCCATCTGTGTGATACCAGGCACAGCCTGGGGCCCGAGGGCAGAGCCGAGGGAAAGCCCCAGGAGCCGGTGACGCTGGAGGGGCGGGCCGGCTGCATGCCTGCTCTGGGGTGCGCGTGGTGGGGCTCTCCCAGCCCAGGCACCCTGCAGCCCCTCCTTGTAGGAAAGCAGGGGCGCTGTGGGCCGAGGGCTGACACGACGGGAGGCCTGGGCCCGCAGGGTGCTCCTGGGGGTCTCCATGGAGGGGGAAGGGAGGACAGGACTGGGGTCCAGGAAGTGGCTTCCCTGCCAGCTGCGCGCCTGTGTGGCAGTGAGGCCATCGCACAGGGCGCCGTGGGGGCCTCTGTCCTCAGGGTTTCTCTTCCGGACCAAGCGTCTGGTTCTGGCAAAACAGGGCTACACAGAGCTGCAGGGGCTGCTGCCCCCCCCCCCCCCCCGCCCTGAGCCACAGCCCCTCAGCTGTTCTCCCCCAAAGGACGCCTGTGCCCGCCTCCTGGACATTTCCAATTTCTCCCAGGGTTCCCTCCTGGTGGTGGCGACGCCCAGGCTCCTCTCCTGGCAACGCCTGCGCTGCTGTGTCAGGACTTGGCCACAGTCACATGCCCAGGGCTGGGCTGCACCGGGTCTGTCCCCGCACCCACCACACTCGCATCTGCACAACCAGGCCACAGCACATAATGAGAAGTGTGACACCACCGCGTCAGAACCTCAACACGGCAGCCGCTCACCTCGCGTGAGCTCCCGTCAAAGCTGAGTGCAGGGCGGGAGGGGACGGGCAGCTGAGCGCCCAGGGCTGCCCTCCGCGTCCCACGTGGCGGTGCCCCGGTCAAGACCCCCCCGCGCCCCTGGAGGCCCTGGTGATGACTCCGCAGCTGGTCCCCTGCCACCCACGTGGGGGACCTGGATGGAGTTCCTGGCTCCCGGCTTCAGCGCCGCCTCCCCAGCCGCTGCAGGAGTGAATCCGTGGGCCAGCTCTCTCCCTCGTTCTCTGTGTCAAGTGAACAATGAAAAAAAGGCACCTGGTGGAATTTCCCACGCTGCCTGCCTCCCCTCCCTCACGGCCTGGAGTGACGACCATCCTCGGCCCTGCACTGCCTGCTGTGGGCAGCGCAGGAGCTCAGCCCCCGCAGGCCAGGGCCTCAGCTCTGCCCTCAGGTCCCAGACGCCAGCGCCTCCTCCCTAGGACCCTGTGCACATGGACCGTGCCCCAGATCCCACCCCCAGCCAGCTTCCTCCCAGGGGCCTGGCTGCCATGGCAACCCCTCTGGCCAGCTCCCGCCCCCGACCCGCAGGGCCCAGTTAGTCCAGGACGGTCAGAAGTGGGAGGCTTTCTTAGCGCACACACGCACCCTGGTCCCTGCTACCTGATGTTTATTCATGAGGAGCGAGATCTATGCTCAGGCACTGACTGCAGGTGCATCCCCCCGTCACCCAGTTAGAAAGATCTTACTGCTCCCCAGCCCCCAGTGCAGGGTGCAGGCAGGGAGCCAGAGCTCGGCACCAGGACTCATCCGCACCCTCCCGCCCTCCCACCCTCCCTTGGCCGGCAAGGCCACACACACGGCACCTGCAGGGGCGCCCCCATCCTGGAGACCAGCAGAAAGCAGCCCCCTCGCGTACTCTCCCTCTACCCCACCCAAGAGGATGCCTCATTTCTGAATCCAAATTCCGCTGCAGCGGAGGGAGCTCAGGGCTGCAGCAGAGGCTGTGGCACCCCAAGACTCGTGGGCGCTTTCTTCAACCCTGACTCCCAGGGGAGGGGACCCGCGGAGGCCACCGCGCAGTCTCTGCCCCTGCCCTGCGGCCTGAGGCTGCAGGCGCTCTCCGAGGACGCCGGACTTCTGAGCCAGGCCTGCGGGGTCCCTCGCGCGCTGAGGCTGCCGTGGCCGGACGGGAGTGACAGCAGGAGGCCCACCTCCTGCTGCCCGCCCCCACCTTCCACTCCCAGTTTCTCCAGCTTCTCGCCAGGTTCCAATCCGAGGCTCAGAGACCTCAGGTGACCTATCCAAGACTTCTAAACTAATAGCAAACATCCAAAGGTCGGACAGCTGTGAGAACCCAGGGTCCTGGCTCCTGGGGGAGACACGCCAGGCGCCTGGGGCACATGGCGCCTCAGCCACAACCTCTGGTCAGGCCATGGGCCCTCAGCTGACCCCAGAGTCCACTGCCCCCTCATTCCTGCTAAGTGCTACGAGATCACAGCTGTGACTACAGCTGTCCACGACACCACCACCTGCCATGGGCTGTCTCCCTCCCACAGGGCCGTGTGTGGGCAGACGGGCACCTGCCACGTGAGTGAGCCTCTCCCAGGGTCCCGTCTCTATGAGAGCCACGTGTCCACTTATCCACACAGTGCTTCCCAAGTGCTGTGATCTGTGACCCGGGAGGGGTGGTGACCCCACGCAGTGGCACAGCCCTGCTGGGGTGAATGACAAGGTCTCGCCCCGATTCCTGCGGGGACTCCCTCAAGACCACTGCACACAGAGCTGGGCCCCGGGAGGTGAGGAGGTGAAGGGACAGGGGCTCCGCCACCCACCCCCCCTTGCCATGTGAGGAGACCCCTACAAGGCACCTCCAGGAGGCAGAGACACCCTCAGCAGGCACCAGCGCTGCCCCAGGGCAGGAAGAGGAGAATTTCTGTCCCACTGCCGACAGGCCACGGCAACCCTGGGCCAGCTCCCGGGCAGCTGTGAAGTCACCACCGCTCTCAGCTCTGGGAGATGCGAGGCCTGCACCACGCTCGGCACATGGCCACACCGTATAGCGCGTGCTCGCTGTCCCCACACGTGCTCTGTGCGCCGCACACGCGTGTTCACTGGTCGGCTTTCCCACTGTCTTTGCCTCGCAGCCCTACCACCACAACCCAGAGCTTCCCCCCTCCACACAGCCAGCCGGGGTGGGGAGTCAGGCCAGGGTTCCCCGACACAAGTCACCCCACACCGGCATCTGCAGATGTGGGCGGGGGAGGGACTGGCCCAGCTCCGCCTCCTAAAGCCACCCCCAGCTTCTACAGGAAGCAGCCTAATGAGGAAGATGCGCCAGCCTGCACGAGCCCCAGACCTTGTGCCCGATGAGGACCACACAGCTCTGCACGAGCCCTCACACCTCGTGTCTGTGCCTGTCAAGGACCACACGGCTCTGCACGAGCCCCCGCACCTCGCGCCTGTCAGGGAGCACACGGCTCTCATGTAGCGCTAGCAGAATCCACACGGGCTGCCCAGAAGGCCTCCAGGAGTGACGGACACGGGTGCCACCACGCACGGTCTGTGAAGTGCACACGCCTACGCACGTGAACGCACACAAATGCTCCCTTCTTGCTGCCCAAACAGCCCCTTGGGCTACCGCGTGCGCTGACAGTGGCAGGGTGCTGATCCGTGTCTCAGACACAACACGCACAAGCCCATCGACACCTGCGCCCTGTGCAGAGACAGGCTGGACGCTAGCTCCATCGCGAGACGGAGCCTGCCGGAACTCTGGATGGCGAACGGAAGGAAACTGAACGGGGTCCCCGGCTCACTCGCTTCTTTTCTTAAACAGGTGCTTGCGATGGTCCTGGGCCACAGTCTTCAATCCACCAACGTGGCAGAGTGGCCGGCACACACGTGACCACCCGCAGCGGCAGCTCCATCTGAGCTCCTGCAGTCTGTAGCATCAGCCGCTGACACAAACAAGCCACAGCTGCTGGCCTCTGCCACACTTTATGGGGACCCAGCTCTGAGTGAGGGCCTGACGGCCACACCAACTAAGGGGGCGCGGGGAGGGGCAGCATGTGGCACCGCGGGCTAGGCTGCCCCTTGCCGCGCTGCGACCCATGTGAGCACCAGATGCAGTCCCAGCTGCTCCACTTCCGATCCAGCTCCCCGCGTCAGCCTGGCCCAAGCTGGGTTACTGCAGCCATTTGAGAGGATCAATGGACAGAAGTTCTCTTTCTCTGTAACCCTTTCAAATAAATAATTAAATCTAAGAAAAAAATAACACAACAAAGAGAAGAATGGGGCGGGGGACCGAGTCTTGGGCACGAGGCGATGGGGTGCTCTGGGAATTCCTGGCACTGGCAGCTGCCGCCTGTCCACAGGTGGCTCTGACTTACCAGGGACACTGGCCCACGGCCACGGCCTTAGCGCTGGGCTGGCGTGGGCCACCTGCTCATCTGATCATCAACACAGTCCCCCGGGCGGGTGGAGCGGGGCCACCCTCACTATGGCAACACCAGCATTTTCTGCCCACAGCTTGGCCATTCCCATGTCCCGGGGCAGGGGGCGATGCCCAGGAAGGGGTCATGGGAGCGCTGGGCAGGGTGGAGGTCTCCTCACAGAAAGAGCGGGGCCCTCACTGATCCCAATGCTGCCAGCCTCTCACAGCGGGGCCAGCGGCCCCACGCCACGCCGCCTGCCATGAGCAAGCCGGGGAGGGGGACGGCAGTGGACTAGAGACAGGCGCACCAGCGAGCCCACAGGCGCTAACAAGGCAGGCACACACTGAGCAGGCCCCAGGCCGGAGACGCCCGCTCCCGAGGGGACCCAAGCGAGGCTGCTGGTTCTGTGGTGGTCGGGATCCCCCGGCAGATCCCCGCAGTGACCCGCAGGCCAGCCAAGACCGGGCACGGCTCACGGACACAGCCTGCCTCCAGTGACCGGGTGCTAACGCCCGGGGCTCTGAACGCGTCACACCCTGGCGTGGACTCGCAGCTCCTGCTCGCTGGGCAGAGAAAGGCAAGGACACAGCGGCCGAGACCGCGCCTCCCGCCCGCCGAGGAGCAGGGTGTGGCAGAACCCAGGACCCCTGCGGCCGGGTCAAGCTTAGAGGGCACCCTCTTTCATCTTGCTTATCTGAAGGGCGGAGAGGGGAGAGGGGGTTTCCCACGTGCCAGCTCCCGTGTGAGTGGCAGGGGCCCAGGGACTTGAGTCACCACTGCTGCCTCCCGGGGTCTACATGTGCAGGAAGCTGAGTCGGAAGTGGAGCAGAACTTGAACGCAGGCCTCGGAGAAGTGACACAGGCGACCCGAGCAGCGCCTTACTGCTGCACCAAACACCCCCCATCTTAAACACCTACCTCCGTGGACGCGGGAGTAGAACAACTCAACTCTGAATTACGACCAGGGTTTGACAGGGGAGCCATTAGTCATCCCAGAATCTCCAAGCTACAGAAATCCAACAGCTCCGTGCCTCTGGGGCCCGTCTGGAACATGACAGTGATCGGCTTCTGCCCATGCGTGAGGACCCCAATGTCACGTGTGGGGCTCAGACCTGCCTTAAGGAGAGGCAAGGGCATCCCCCCTGCAGCATCCCGCTCACACGGGACACATGTCCAGGACGTCCCCAGAAGCCCCTGCAGAGCTGCCAGAGAGCAAAGGTGTTTGTAGCCCGTGGAACAAACTCCCAGAGCCCCCCACAGTGGCTGCTCGGTTTGCACCCTGGAGGTGCTCAGTGCACAGTGAGCTGCGTCAACACCTGTGTCAGTGCACGGTGAGCTGTGTGTGTACCTGTGTGTGTCAGTGCATGGTGAGCTGTGTGTGTACCTGTGTGTGTCAGTGCTCAGTGAGCTGTGTCAGCACCTGTATGTCAGTGCATGGTGAGCTGTGTGTGTACCTGTGTGTGTCAGTGCACAGTGAGCTGTGTCAGCACCTGTATGTCAGTGCATGGTGAGCTGTGTGTGTACCTGTGTGTGTCAGTGCACGGTGAGCTGTGTCAGCACCTGTGTGTGTCAGTGCACAGTGAGCTGTGTCAGCACCTGTGTGTGTCAGTGCACGGTGAGCTGTGTCAGCACCTGTGTGTTCTCAGTGCACGGTGAGCTGTGTCAGCACCTGTGTGTGTCAGTGCACAGTGAGCCGTGTCAGCACCTGTGTGTGTCAGTGCACAGTGAGCTGTGTGTGTACCTGTGTGTTCTCAGTGCATGGTGAGCTGTGTCAGCACCTGTGTGTTCTCAGTGCACGGTGAGCTGTGTGTGTACCTGTGTGTGTCAGTGCACGGTGAGCTGTGTCAGCACCTGTGTGTGTCAGTGCACGGTGAGCTGTGTCGGCACCTGTGTGTGTCAGTGCACGGTGAGCTGTGTCAGCACCTGTGTGTGTCAGTGCACGGTGAGCTGTGTGTGTACCTGTGTGTGTCAGTGCACAGTGAGCTGTGTGTGTACCTGTGTGTGTCAGTGCACAGTGAGCTGTGTGTGTACCTGTGTGTGTCAGTGCATGGTGAGCTGTGTGTGTACCTGTGTGTGTCAGTGCACGGTGAGCTGCGTCAGCACCTGTGTCAGTGCACAGTGAGCTGTGTCGGCACCTGTGTGTGTCAGTGCACAGTGAGCTGTGTGTGTACCTGTGTGTGTCAGTGCACAGTGAGCTGTGTCAGCATCTGTGTGTCCACCTTCTCAGCACATAGTGAGGGATGTCAGCATCCGTGTGTTTCCTGAGGGTTCCAGCCCGTATGCCCTGTGTGTGCGGCCAGGAGCTCCCTGGTGCCGCAGCGGCCACACAGGAATGCCCCTGTGCTTGGACTCAGACGGCGGCTTGGATGCCTGTGGACAGAGCTCTGTGGGTCCCAGTGACGTCACCCTCAGCCGCTCGGCTCAAGAGGCTGCCCCTCTGTTTGTTTTTACTAGAAGTCGGCCTCTGAAGCTGCGGTTTACAAACAGTCTTCCTGAGCACGGAGCACTGTTTATCAAGCAGAACCTGACAGCTACGCGGCTCCGGGCAGGAAACCGAAGCAGAGCTGTGCTGATAGACCCCAGCGCTCCGCACCAGCACCCCAGGGAGCCCCTCCACTGCACTGCCTTGGCGCCGGGAAGAGAACACCCCTGGGGACGGCTCTTGGGCTTCCTGTCTGGCCTGGACTCCAGAGCCCCAGGGCCCTGCTCCGCTGGTCAGCTCACAGCTTCACCAGCGCCGAGAGGGCCGGAGGCCCACACACCGTGCTTTGCCACCTGCACACCAAGCTCCAGAGACCCCAGCCAGTGCCCCAGGGCCTCTGCGTCCGCACAGCCGCCAGGGCCCGACACTCGCGCAAGGAGCCAGGCCACCAAACCAGCAGAAACCAATGATGTGCACAGAATTCTAGAGAAAAGGCCGCCCCCACGGTGGTGGGCACATGGCTGCGTGCTCGGAGGTGCCAGCACAGCTGCCTTGCACATGGCATCTCCCAAAGAGAGCAAAGACTGGGGCAGGGGGAGGTGTACCCCGCAGGCCAGCAGCCTCTCCCCTGCAGCTCCAGACACAGATGTCGCTGTGGGAACGCGGGGGCAGTGGGGATGTGTTCGGGGTGGTCCGGGGAGCCCAGCCAGGAGGGAGGGGCTGGAGTCAGCCCACAGAAAGGCCTGCGAGACTGCAGCAGCGTGCGTCCCCCAGGCAGGGCCTGGAAGAGTCCCAGGCCGCCTTCCGGAAACACGGCTCCCCGGAGGGTCCCCAGAGAACCATCTGGCTGCAGCGGGAAGACGCCTCCTGGCCAGCTCCAACTCCCAAGGTTCCCGGATGCTGCTCCCTCCACCGGAGGAGGCCGTCCTGCCCTGACCCTGCAGTGAGGGGGTTCTGAGGCCTGGACACAGCTCCTGACACGGCTCCGGCCGAGGTGGTCCAGCTGAGCCCCGTGACCCTGCACCTGGCTTCGGGCAGTGGACGAGACCCCCCCTCCCCCGACCTGGCATTGCCAGACCCAAGCCTCTCCCAGGATGCCAACAGGCCCCTGCCGGCCAGTAATGCTGGCCAGGGGGCAGAGGGGAGGGTCAGTGGCTTGCGCCCCGTCTGCAGAGACCCAGTTTCTCAGCCTCAGGTGGAAGAGCATGGAGTGCCAAGGTCTCCCTCCCAGGACACGTCCTGGCCCTCGGTGGGGGGGGGGGGCAGTCCTGGAGAGCAGGGGGCGGGCAGGAGCCCCTCCACCCTCCATGGCTCTGGGAGCCAGCATGCAGTTCTGCACCAGGCGCCGCCTCTGGGCTGTGGGCGACACGGCAAGCACGCTGCATGCTGGGTAAATCCTCACCTGACCCAGGTTTCTGCAAAATTCCCACCCGGAAGCTCAGGTGTAACCAGATGAGTGCCTGGAGAGGGTCAGGGAAGAGCCTTCAACTGCGTCTTTTCTCGTCTAGTTCCACAGCTTCTGCTGGGCGCTGCCCACTGCTGTGGCCTCGGGCATCAACGGTCCTCGTCCCCCAGGACTCCTCGCGCTGGCCGGGCCGGTCCTCAGCCGCTTGCCCCCATGG